GGTGATGAACAAGGGGAAGAGATGAAGGCAAAGTTACAGCTTCTGCAAGCATAATTGCTGTAGAGCAGTTCCACTGAGACATGCATAGCAGCACCTAAGGTTCTCCTAAATTTATGTAGTTTAAGATTACATAAACTTATACCATAAACTTAAGGTATAAGTTTAAAATGATTATACCAGAGTATAAGCATTTAGACAGGAAATGTCCTGTTTTGCAATCTCCACTTGTCTTCTATTTTAAACCATGTAAGGATTGCTATTTCTTACATAGACACACTGGACTCCTAGCATTAGATTATAAATACTCAAGTCAATAGCTTGAGTATTTATATAAAAAATAATTTATAATAAGTAACAGCTTGCTAGTTCTGCCTTGTTTTATCAAAAGCTTCAGAAATGGAATACCAGTATTACCAGGGCATATTGGGTTATGTTTAGGTGCAAGTAGGGACAGGGCTTAAAAATACTAGAATCTGGCCAACGCATGCAAAATCCCACCCCCCCCGAGGGCATACATGGATGCCACCGTCAAAAGACCTTAAATAGATGCAAACAAAACATTAATGAGACTAATATATAAAGAGCATTCTACACTGGGTTTTTGCTAAATATGAGCAACAAAAGAAGCAAAAAGGGGATCAAGAAAAAGGGGAGGAAACAAAGAGAAAAGGCAAGAATGCAGAAGAAAAAAAAGCAAACAAGGAGAGGTTGAACAAGAAAGAAGAGGCAGTGAGAGTTCAGGAAGAAACAGGCTGCATAGCATATAGCAAAGCTAGAAAGAGAGAGAAAACGTGCCACAAGTACATTTTCAGAGTGATTTAAATTTGGTGCAATGCAAAATGACTTCTAGCCTTCATTTTTAGTTACTGATTATTCCTAAGGAGTATAGGAAGAACTTGCTACAAGTCCAGAAGCATTTTGGCAAGAAAAAAAGTTTTCAAAATGAGCTCTAAAATGGATTGGAGAATGTGTAGCCATTTGTTCTTGAATTACAACTCCCAATCCCATTCAACCAGCATCACAAATTATGAATGTTGAGAGCTGCAGGTTTAGGGTCGCAAGATGAACAGGTCTCATTCTTTCACACAGTAGTTAATATAGTTATAATTAAGTATATTATAACATACCAAACCTAAGAATTCACCCAAAAATGCACGCAGAAATGAAGCTGTAGTGAGAAAAGTCAGCTAGCAAGCAAGGAAGCACATGTGAATGAGAAGAAAAAAGCAAAGAAAAGCAAAGAAGAAGAAAGCAGAGAGCCAAACCAGAAAGAATCTGCAAGCAGTCAAAGAACACAGAGAGAAGAAAGAGTGCAACTAAACTTCAAGAAGCTGAGGAACAAACCAGAAAGCAACACAGAACCACAGCAGAGTGAGTTTGGCCCAATCTTCGTTATTGTGCAAAACAAATTGTAAGCCAAGTTTTGTTTGTCCATGTGTACAACTGAGCCAATTGTAGTTAGTTAAAAAACCATGGCTAAGCAAACCAGGGTTTAATTTGATGGGTTAACACGGGAACTGTATGAGTCCTACGACTGGGGATTATAAGCAATAGATAAAATCTGAGAAGGAAAAAAACCCTGCTGCTACCGATATGATTTTCTTCTTTATCTCTATTGGTGGCAAAACACTAGACCATACTAAAATGGGATGGAAGGAGCCAGTCACATAGATCTTTCCACCCCTTTTTTAAAAACTTTATCTGGAGAGGCTGTGAGCCAAATAGATTAGTAAAAGAAGGGGTTTGAGGAAGAAAACTACCAAACTGCTGTTCCCATTCAGGAGCTGACTTGGTGAAAAATATGTCCTTTTAAAGAAGGGCTTTCATTCTGCAGGGGAAAGAAAATATCCTCCTGAGTTTGCAGCAAAAAAAAGGATGGAAAGGTTAGGCCATTTGCTTTCCTCCTTATAGCCAACCACCTGTGTCTATCCTGTACTATGTGTAATTTAAACCTCAGCTGGAAAAAAAAAGTGGTGGTAATCTATGTACACAAATAGAAAGCATGAAAGCAAGGAGAGAGACAAAGCTATAAGAAAACAGTAAGAGGCAAAAGAGAAGAAAAAAGTAGAGAAACAAAGCTATCGGGCAAGGCAAAGAACAAAGTGAATGTGGCCTCAGAGTGAGCAAAGCTTAATGGAAAGCAAAGGCATGCAAAGGAGTTCAAACTATAATATTAGAGCAGAACCAGATTGCAAAAGGAAAAAGAAATCTACCATTTGTTCACTTGGACAGCCATGTCACAACAAAAATGTATTTCTAAATGCCTCCCTTTTCCAAATTATCCACTCATTGATGCTCATTTATGCAGAAATAAATGTCAGAGTGTGGTGTTTATGTTCCAGTAATGCCTTTAAAACATCCTAAATCTCATTTGCAAATCTGATCTGCACATATAGCAATGGGAGAGCAGGATCCAACAGACAGGACGGACTACTATGTCCTGTGCTCATTTCAGTGTGCCGATGGGAGGACCCCAGGTATCAAGAATCCCCTCCGAATTCAAAATGAGCCCAGGAGGAGAAAACCTAATGCAAAATATTTCTCATTCCTATGGATGTTTAGTTTTCCTTGCAGGGATTTAATTTTTATTTGAAATGCAGGGAAGTGTCCTGCAGCTGTAGCCTAGTCTGCACTAGGATAGCCGGGTACAAAAGAAAAAAGGGTTCCTGCATCTTTAATAGCTGTACCAGTGAGTTAAACTGCAGTAGATTCTTGTCCCAGTCATTTAACTCAAGATGGAAACTGTCTGGAACCCTGTTTCTTTAATAGGGATGACTATGCCAGAGAATTAGTTTTTTTAGAAACACGGGTTCTAAGAGAAAGATCAGCCTTTCAACAGCATTGAGGTAGAATAAATTCTAGGAAGACAAGAGATCTTAGTTCAGCCTGCAATTGTAGCAAGAAAGGGCCTTCTTAAACAGGATGGGGCAAAATATTAGTTTAGGAAAAGCAGCATGTTAGGAGGAAAAATAGATCGTGGAATCAGAAACAACAGGACTTCATATCACACTTATAGCATTTCAGATCAAAGTCCCATACATTCCATTGCTTTTAGGGATAGTGAATTGGGTCAAATAGAAAAAAACCCAACTTTGATTCTTTTAATATGTGTGTGTGTGTTTTATATTTTGCTTATTTGAGTTGTTTGAGGTACACACAGTTGTTGGGAGTTGGCCAGAATATGAATTTGATTAATAATTACATCATTTCCTGTTATATTTATGCTTACTAAGATTTCAGCCAAAATTGCCAACTAATTCATACTAGAAATGTGATTCATCAAGGGACAACTTTCAAAATCTCGGGGTGCTCAAGGCAATACAGATACAGTAAATTAAAAAAGAAAAATCCAGCATTACATAATGGCTTCATGAGAGAGTATTCTAAAATTGGCAACAGATTCACCCTATTTTATTACAACATTGTATTTCCTGTCTTCAAAGAGCAGTGGAAAAGCTTGTGTTAGCAGCCAAATCTTTTTAAACAGGGGTAGGCACAAAACCTTTAGGAGACACTTTGAAAATTGCATCACTTCTCACAGATTAGATATTTACTTTGTTCTATCACCATTGACTAAATTGTTTGGCAGTATGAAAAAAAAAATAACCTTTTCTCTGTTTCATCCACATTTCCCCACATTAATGCCTATTTATAATCTTAGCCTGCCCATTTCAGAAAGCCCCCTGCCACGCTGTCATTCCCTCCTATCTCCCTGGTGGAAATGAAGAGAGCATCATTCTTAATAAGGGAAAGAGCAAGGGTGCAGCAATAGAAAAAGAGATGGAGGAAAAGAAAGAAGAGGAGGCAGAGTAACAGAAGTTAGCCAGAATCAGGATTTTATTACAGTAATGTGGAAACAGAAGAAAGGAGAACAAGCATCTATAGAGAAAAGTTTTTTTCCCTGAGATATTGCATTGTTAACTTGAGAGGCACTGCAACATAAATACAGAAATACAGTGAAGCAAAACTGTCAGAAACAGAAATAAATTCTGCTTTGGGATCAACAGCCTTTAGGAGAAAATGATAATTAAATATATTCCTTTAAAAAAAAGAAATGCATTTGACAAAGTCCTTAGGCTTGTCGTAAAATAACACCCATGCATATGTATATTTCTATATCAGCATATATATCAGTAGATGCAAACTTCCCAATCAGTGACTTTCAAGTTTCTGGTATTTCCAATTTGTTGATCCTTCCTGTATATCCACAAATAAAGTATTTATTTGTATTCCAGCTAAATCATTCACATTTTAATATAAAAATAACAACTCTTCTCCATTCTTTGTTCTTCATTTAGGAGATCAACCCCAATAAAATTAGTAGATTAAAATCAGAATGGTTAAGAGAGAAGTATGAGGCACAGTTCATACCAAAAGAGTTTAGAAATGTCTTTTTAAGTACACAGATTGCAGTGTAAAAGTTTGTATTGTTATCATTTCCAAAAAATGTTGAAAACTTAAAATAGCAGTAGACTTATATACCGCTTCATAGGCCTTTCAGGCCTCTCTAAGCGGTTTACAGAGAGTCAGCATATTGCCCCCAACAATCTGGGTCCTCATTTTACCCACCTCGGAAGGATGGTTCGAACTTAGAATAACTTAATCGCCACTTTGAATGCACCCGAATCGGCACACATGAAAATGAAATTT